CTAATAAAGTGGCCGATGAGTGTATATTTAAGGCGTTTAAGGTTGGCCCATACAGTTTTCTCTATGTTAAAAGAAAAAGGCAGTTAATTATTCAGAATTTATGTATGAATTTCTAGGTAAAACTATTGTTTTATTACCTTTGATTACTTATTAAGTCTGTCAGAGTTATTGGTTCACAAATATTTATCAACTTTTTGATAAATTATATTTTGACATTTTGAAAAAAAAAGCCATTTGTTGAACTGAAGTTTCAAAACACATCAGTCAACTACCAGTGTGTCAGAATGTGGTTCTAAATAGAAACATGTCATTACGCAATTTATTTAACTTTACGCAAAAATGGTCATAATCATATCACTCTCTCTTTTTTATGGTTTGTTTTTTCCAACCTTTTAGGTTCCTCTGGAATTGAAATCCTCGAGCACTCTAGGACCCAAAAATGGCATATTTGTGAAAATCACAAGAAGAGAGAAGTGAGAAGAGTAAAAAGACTCCACCGGATAATAAGAAACTCTTTTTCAGACATAGAACGTAAAAAAAGGAAAATTACAAACCTTTATCCTGTAAATTGCACTTGTCAATTTCTCACATATTTCTTGATTTGTATGAAAGTACTTATTGTGACCCCCACACGCGAAGCGTAAACGGGAGTCATATTGTTTTTGTACGTTTAATTTTTTTTAGTGATTTTTGGTCAACCGTAGCACAAAAACGGCTGCACCGATCAACATGAAATTTGGCAGGACTGTAGATGAGTCAGACTTACATTACGTCAGGCAATGGGTTTTTATTTTTTTATTTTTATTTTTTTCAGTTCGCCACAGAACCATTTTTATTTCTGCTCCTCGACGAGCGGCACGATTAGAAAAACCATGGCCCRATAAATGGGTGAAGCATCCAGAACAATTGTGGGATTTCAGGCATTGAGGTGACATCGTCTCTGATGAGGTAGGCCACGGGCCCGCTGCGAACCCATACACACCTCACACACAGTGGGCCGCATTTAGTCTTTTTATCAGTACATTGTTTGCTTTGGACATGATGAAAGCCGAGCCCGGGGTGACGCTGTTGGGACAGTCTGGGATGGAACATGGGACGGGATCACCAACGCCCTCTGGGGTAATGGGCATCTGAGACTTGAGGAAGTACTCCTTAGCCATAGAGAGAATCTGGAAGATATTTTTAGTGGCGACCRGGGTGGTTCTGGCTCAAGTCACCGCCACATACAGTAGGTTCCACTCGACACCTGGAATTGTAGAAAATGCGAAGTCACGAAAGTGGCAGAGGTTGTGTCTTGAGGTGGGGACGGTGGCAAAGTCGTCACTGATGATCATGGTGTCAAACTCCAGACACTTGGCCTTGTGGACTGTCCCAACTATAAAGTCTGCTTTGTCAAAGTTGGTTTCAGAGAAACTCTTGAGTCGTGTCACCAGTTCAGGGATGCGAGTGTGGAATGTCATCACGATGTCCAGTTTAGCTTGCAGCTCCTTGTCTTCGGTTCGATCGACGTATTTATGAAAGGCTTCGAAGGGGCTGTCTTCACTCATCAAAAATGACCGAACGAGGGGATCTTTGATTTTTTTCGAACTGACGCCTTTTACATTTGAAGTGAACAGGCTGTAGATGTCCATGATCATATCAAGCCCAAGGTTAGTGACGCCTCCGATGAAGTGGATGCTGCACTTCAGTTTAGTGTCTGTGAGCTGGACCGCCGCTTTGAAGACACCGAAGTCTCACCTGGACAAGATGCCGATCTTCCCTGGGGTTTGACTCACTCCCGTCTTCATCGCCTCCAGAGCTTTGTCGGCCAACTCATCACACACACCATCCTTCTGTTTTCCTCCAACAAGAATCTTCTCAACTCCCTTGCAAACCCTGAGGATAGTGGTGCCCACATAGGCGATCTCCGCGCCAAATCGAAAGCTCTGTGTCAGGTGGAAGATGTGAGTGTGGTTGTCAGTTCTTAAAGCGTTGACAGCTCCTTTGGTGTAGATCTGCTGGTGAGGGTCTCCGACTAGGATTTTCCCACAACTCTGGGACAGCAGCACGTCCATGATGGCGGGTGTGCAGTCCTGAGCATCGTCAATAAAAATGGCGTCGTACTGGTCGGCCAGGCATAGCTTCGCCTCCCTGAGCTGCCACAGCTTCAGGCAGCCATCATGCGTCATGAAATATGCCTGCTTGGATTTCTCCTGGACGTCCTTCATTTTGCTCCAAATCATCTTCGCATCTTGGATAAACATCTTTTGCTCTTCAGAATCTATAACCTTCCAGTAGTTCTGTTGGCAGACATAGTAATCGGGGACGTGCAGGGAAGAGATGACTGGGTCTGCTGACGAGATGAACGTGTTGAGGATCGTGGTTACGACTTGCGCATTGGAGAAGCCGCCGTGTTCATTCTCCAGAGCACAGCTGATGTAAAACGGCTTCAGGTTTGAGGTCAGCTTTCCATTAAGTTTATATCTCTTGCCAATGTCGATGTAGGCTAACGAGTGGATGGTCCTGCAGTCCACATTGGAGGGAAAATGGCGCCGTGATTCACAAGCCACAGAGTCGTTGAAAGCCACATAGAGGAACTTCAGATGTGGACRCTGCTCAGCATATTTGATCAACGTGGTCGTTTTTCCCGTACCTGCAAAGCCTGTAATCTTGACCAGGTGGTCGGGCTGGATATTGTGTCTCAGGATCTGCTGCTGCGCTGGTGTTAGCTGGATCTCGGGTGTCCCGATCTGAGAAGAGAGAGAAAAGGGTCCATTCTCCAGCAGGTGAAGCACGTAGTAGATGTTAAAATGTAACCTGTTGCTGATGTGAATTTTGAACCTCTCCATAGCGAGTAACATTGTGGCCATGTGGCTGAGGTACTCTGTGATGGCTGTTAGAGACATGCAGCCYGCCAGCAGAGACACCAAGTCCTGCACATCACAGACACTTTCGCTGAGCAGCAATATCACCGCCATGGCTGCATAGGGGTTGGGACCCTCGATGCCAAGGTGAATCTCCTGAATCTTAGGAATATTTAATCGGACAGCGGCTTCGGCCTGAGGAAAGAGGCGATGCTTCTTCACGCACTCCAGAACACTCTCCAGCCTCACACGCTCCCCGATTTTATGCTGAGCCATCAAAACCACAAGGTTTCTTAAGCTGTTCTTTTCAGGTGAACATTTGCTGATTTTGCTGGCCCTCATTATGGTGGCGACCTCCATAACTGCTCCTTGTTCCCTCTTCATGAAGCGATAGTATTGCTTCTTATAAGGTGCAAACGTGGGTTCCTGGATGATGTTCCTCCAGCGGTGGAAAACGAGGCTGGCGCTGCAGTACAGGTCCACTGCAGGAACAAGAAGAAGTATCTGTCTCAGGATCTCGTTTGGAAGGTCGTCCATGCAAGCGYTGGGGAGAGGCTCAGCATCTTCTACAAACGCCGATCCAGTGGGACTTCCTGCGGCAGAAGGTGCAGATTTATGTCGCTTCATGTGGTCATGGTTGGGGCTGGTCCATCCCTCGTTGGTCGTGTGGGGTATGTGCTTCCTTTTGTCACTTCCTTGTGAAGTGGTGTACCGTGTGACGTGTCACAGTACCTCGGTCAGAGACACGCCCTGCAGAGATTCAGGAGCTAGCCATAGCAATTTGGGTTTTGCAGCTACCAATGCTAACAGAGTGCTTCTTTTTTATCCCCCCGCCCTGAAAAGATAACTCCGCCCCACAGGCAACGGTTTTACGATASACCCCATATTTGAGGAGGGGGCTCCTTTCAAAGAGGGGGTGTCTGGACATGCAAAAATGCTTATAACACAGAAACGGTTAAACATAGAAGCTTCAGACATTAGGAATAAAGACTTCTAAGTTCTGGTGCATTTGTGCATACGGGGGTCATTATGTTACCGCTATGCGGTGTCTAGTTTTGTCACTAAAACCTTAAATGATTCTATTTTAACTTTATAACCCACGATTTATAAAATCTATCATTTGTGTCACTGATGGGTGAAATAGAGAAGCTGTATCTAATTGCTCTTATCACGTCTAACCTGACTCTGTGGTGGTCTTAGTGTGGGACAACATGGGGTGATGCAAGATGAGGATCACAATCATAAAACACTGAAGCATCCAAACAAAGTTGCTTTAAAGGCTCCTTCCTTATCTTCATTTATAATAGAAAGCTCTATGTGTGTTAGTGGGGAATAAAAGACACATTATGGAGCATTTAATCTTATCTTTTTTGTTTGGACCATTTTTATTTCTTAATGAAAATGGAGGGATTTAAGGTTTAAGGGAACCACCTCTTACATTTTATCTGTGGGAACCATTTTTATAGTTCAGACTATTCTGAGCTTTGTTTTTTTTTATATTTTGCACTTCCACGAAAGCATTTTAAATGGATTTTTATTTAGATGTTAGAACATGAAATCCGAACTAAACCAAATTTAAGTCAGCTGTTCACATTCTGCAGCTCTGCTCTCAGCTCAGTTTGATYGTTTGCACATTTCATCAGGAAGTGGACCTCTGCTCTTTTTAATTGTTTATCAGTGCAAATGTTTACTTTATCACCCTGTCGTGACGTTTGCCTCCCATCATTACAGCTGCTTCCACAAACACTGGAAGAGTTTAATCCTGTAAAAAAACACCAGGAAATATTAACAGGCTTCAGTTCAGCTGCATAATCCAGCTTAAAGCTGCCAGATTTTTGCAAATGAGTTGAATGATCAAGAAATGGCTCCAAACCTTTAACAACCTTCCTCTGGAGTTAATTATTATTAAAAGTTAAATGTTTGCACCTTTTAAAACATCATTATTTTCTGTTTGGGAAGTTTAATCTGACCTTGTCTGATTTTTTTCAACACAATTCTTGGACTCACCAAGAGATTATGAAAAAAAAAAAAAACAATACAAGTGAACTGCTGTTAAATAATTCTGCATTTATATGAAACAAACTAAAGCAACAGGAACTGATGTGATCATGTAAAAAACTGTGTCCTTTACAAATTTAGTTTAAGCACTTTGGAAATAAATAAATTTACTGAGAAATGAGTTGTGTCTATTGTATGTATTTTTTTCATTAAATGTTTGAACAATAAACAAATGAGTGATTATGTGAAATAGATGACAAATTTAAAATTTGTAGTAAAGTAAACTTTATGATTTGTTTAAATAATGGAATTAAACTAATTTATATTGTTCATTCCTTATCTGCCTTTGGTCCTGACCCCCGTCTCACCCACAAAATCTCATTTCTAATTCGATTAACTTTGTCCTATTTAATCTGTTTTTGTTTTCTTAAACATTTAGATTAGATTAGTTTAACTACCCATCCCGTGTCATTGTCAATCACTCATGATATAAGTTGAGATAATGTTCAGGCTCAATAAAACCTGCAGGAGTGGAGGTGGTTTAAGAATAAGACAAAATGACAGAAGCAATAATTGACAAGTTTCCTGAGAAAAAGAGACAAAAAGAYGAGTCAAAGAGAAAGGATCCGGACGTTGGCATGTGTTTTTATTAACATTTATAATTAAGATAGCAGTGATAAAGGCAGTGAGAGAAACTATTTTAATACAGTTGTTTTTTAAAAAGTGGAGGTGTTTTTTTCCATCATGGAGACTGCTGCTGACTTCATCAGAGCGTCTGTGACAATCTACCTCGTCTTTATTGTTTTAGGTCTCCTGTACTGGTAGGTAATTTTTAAATTCATTCTGCTGTGGAAAAAAACCAAGTATGGTTTAATTTGATAGAAATTACTGAAGTCAAAAAGAAAAAAAATTGTGTAGGTCTTCTGGACGGGTTCTTCTTTAATGAAACGTTTTGTCTCTCCTCCAAGAGACTTCTTCAGTCAGAGTTTCAGGCAAAATTCAGGTTTTTAAGCCCTGCCTGTGACTGATACTCACATCACATGGCTATCGTTGACACCTAATTAACACTTATTGTTAACAGGGGGTGGAGTGATACTGGCAATGGCCGCGATGTTGGAGGGGGACAATTAAAAACGGAGGCCTCCACCTCTGTTGGAGGCCTCCGTTTTCAATTGTCTATTGTTAGGCCTGTTGTTAGGCGATGGCCCTCTTTTGCACGTGACTAACCTGTTTTTTCATGTGGAGGCAGTGCTTATAAGGCTGAGTTCACCTCAAACTCATCAGACTGAAGAAGTCTCTTGGAGGAGAGACGAAACGTTTCACTAAAGAAGAACCCATCCAGAGGACCTACTTATTTTTTTGTTTTTGATTTTCTTCTACCTGGATTACTGAGATGCATCAGGATACAGAGGTTAAAATTTCAGAAGGAAACGTCCTGTGGGGTTTATAAAAACATATTTTTCTTTTTGACATTTCAAGAATTACGCGAGAAGTCGGTCAAGACTACGTGATAAATGGTCAGATCCTTCCTAAAGGGGCAAAAATGGATCTCCTTACAGCCTTCCTGCATCGTGATCCAGAGCACTGGYCTGAGCCGGAAAAGTTCATCCCTGAGAGGTCAGCCACTTTTCTCCATACCTACTGGAGTTTGTTYTGAAAATAATATGCAGTATATCAAAATGTAATAGAAAGCAATTGTACTAGAAACTGATTCCAAAAAGTATTTTTCCCCTTTGTATGTCAGGATAAAATACCTTGTGTTGTTAAGAGGAAAGCTAAAATACTGTATTATATTTAGACTTGTAAAGGGAACACACACTCATCATGACCTTCTGGTTGACCTCACAGGTTTACGCCAGAGGCTAAGGYTAAYCGTCATCCGTTTGTCTACCTGCCGTTTGGGGCTGGACCTCGGAGCTGTGTGGGAATGAGACTGGCCCAGCTGGAAATCAGGATGGTTTTGACACATTTGTTGCACAGGTTTAATATTGTGGCCTGTTCTGAGACCAAGGTGGGTTGGTTCATCCACAATAAAGTGCTAATGCTGTGGGTTCAATCATGRTGATTACAGCTGTTTAATATTGTTTTACAACTGACAATGAGTTTAAGTTCATTTAATTATTTTTGCAACTGGCCACTGTAGAATCTGGTTTTATAATAATAATGTGTCATTTTGAATGTTGGCAATAGATGTTTAACTTTTACGCTTTTTTGAAATCCTTCAGGTTCCTTTGGACTTGAAGTCAACTGGCTCTCTAACACCCAAACATGGCATATGTGTGAAAGTCATAAAAAGAAACTAGAAAAAAGAGCAAAATAATTCTCTATCAGATGATTAGTAACTTTTTGGATTGAAGACAATTTTACTGAATATCCTGCAAATTTCTGCTAGATGGTTTGACTAAAAGGAAATCCAGCTTGTAAATTGTTGTTATAATGAATTAATCATGCTGAGCTCATTTGTTAAACACAAAGCTGTAAATGAAGCTGTGTTAAAATTAAAGTTGTCAGATTTTCTCTGCAAATAAGCTGAATGGACTAAAAACAATTCCAAGTTGTCGTGAATAATTCTAAGTGTTTTATATTGTTTCTGGTGATATTTTGTAACTGTGGCAGAGTATTTGAATTGTTTTGTTTGATGAGATTTTCAGCAAATCAGGATCATGCGTGCGTTCCATCAGACCAGTATTAGCTAATCTTGTGACTATACTTCATGGTGATTGGCCGGTATTCTAATCAGGCTAAATAATGTAGAGAACAGAGAAATATTTTGTCATAAAAGGGAAAAAAATGTTTTCCGTCTTTTCTTTCTTTAGTTTGGATTAACCTGAACAAATCTGACTCTTTAAAGTATCGGGAGCAAATTTACGGTAATGACTGAATGTTCACACGAACAGTGATTTACAAGTTATTTCAAATCTTCATGTTTTCTTACACCTTCAATCTTCTTTCTGCTGCCTTTCATTTTATTATTTTTCTTCTATTGTACATGGTTTTGTTTTTAGTGAAATGAATAAATTTCTAAATAAAATAAAGTAATTAAACAGTTAGCATTTTGGACAGGGATTTATATTCTGCATTTAAAAACCAGATCACCATAATGAAACAATCA